AAAAATGGATAGTAAGCAGCAATTTTTTGAGCAATCCGCCGGGTTTTCCGCATGCTGAGATAATTATGAAAGAGAAATTGAAGTGTGGATTAGACGGCGATTGGAGTTTTCGAAATATTTTTTGGGCGAAACACTTTATCGCACACGTTTGCCCCAGCAGGTGCCAACTTTCAAAACTGCCGCTTTGTGATACATGGCTGTAAAGTATACTACATTAGCACGAACCAGGGTTGAAACGCCGCTTTGCGACTTTTCAACCCTGGCCCCGTCTCACCCCATTTTATCCTAAGCCTTTGCATAATTATCTTGCATTCTGATCACAAAAACTGAAAAACAACTTCTTCTGCCTCTTTATATAGTCGAATCCCAGCTTCCGGTCTATGTTAATTTGTTCTAACAAAGAGGTTTGACAAAAACTTCAATTTAATGTCGAAAACCGCTGATTTTGCAAAATTTTATATGTGTGCAGTCATCTCCAGACCAATGCGCACCTAATGACGTATCATACGTACTTTAAAATTCATCCCCTAGCGAGATATCCTCCGGAAAGACAGACGGAAGTGGATGCAAAGTGGCACACACACACACACTATTTTTTATATATAGTAGGATACATTACAGTTTTGACAAAAAACAGCGAAAAATAACCATAGTTAAGTTAGAAAACTGAAATATTGGTTGGGAGATGATAAACCAGTCTTTGCCAATGGAATCCCTATTTTCAACACTTTGCTTGGAAATAGATGTTAAGTATTCAAATTAGCTTTAAAATCCCAAACGCACCTTCGAGCAGCTTACTCATAAAGGTGTACTCTGGGTCGTTGCATGGAATATCCGTGAAAAAGTAGACTACCTTTCCGCGTGTGTCCTATAAATAGCAATTTTTGCCTTAAAAGCATACTCTATTGCTATAATTTATTACTCAAAAAATTGCGTTAACATTAGTAAAGTATGGTTAAATTAAATTATAATAGCCTAATATACAAAGATTACCGTAACCAGCGATTGCCATTGCTCCAAAATCAAATAAACCTGCGTCAAGTCGGTTAGCATCGTTGATAGCAGAGTAGAGCTGAAAAATCAATATAATTAAAGCTTAATTTGTATAGTTAAACATGTTCCTAATTAAGATAAGAATGGTTCGTTTTTATAAAATTAAATGTTGCACCAAAATTTCTAATTGCGGGCCTTTTAGCACGTTTAATTTAGGCTACATTTGCTTGTTGAAATATCAGAAGATATGGATTCTAAGCGTTTGAAAAATTAGTTCAATTTATTTAATTATTTAAATTATCAATTTAATTTAATTATTTAATTAAATTGAGTTAAATCGTTTATGTAAAATTTAATGTTGCATCAAAATTTATCAATGCGGCTTATTTTGCGCGTCTAATTTCAAGTCAAACTAGCCTAACTATTGCAACATCAAGAAAAAACGGGTCTATAGAATTTGAATTCCGCTAAAAATAAAAATACTAATCAACTATAATAATTTTGTTGACGCGTCCGTCCGTCTGTCTGTCTGTCCGTGTGAAGCCGAATTCAACTCGAAGGGGAAAGGAGCTAGAGCTTAGCTCTCTTCGGATTCGGATAGAGCGTGGTCAGAAACCCCCAAACTGATAAAAAAATTACGAAAAAGTTTTAGTTTAAATTATTAAAATTAACTTTGAAAGTTTTTTCCTTAGTAAAAGGGGTGGGGGACGGAGGTTGGGCGATTTTGGACATAGTGAGCCAGGTCGCGCGCGTTTCGTGGATGAAAATTTTCACGGGGGATTTCATTTCTTTTTTGCTCTCATTCCATCCGGTCGGTCGTTATTTTCGTTTTTTAAAAGGATTTCAGCCATGGGGGGTATCGAAGCCATCAGGGAGGTATCGAAGTAGTTTTTTAAGGGGATTTCAGCCATGGGGGGTATCTGAAGCCAGCAGGAAGGTATCTAGGTAGTTTTTGAAGGGGATTTCAGCCATGGGGGGTATCTGAAGCCATCAGGAAGGTATCTAGGTAGTTTTTGAAGGGGATTTCAGCCATGGGGGGTATCTGAAGCCATCAGGAAGGTATCTAGGTAGTTTTTGAAGGGGATTTCAGCCATGGGGGGTATCTAAAGCCATCAGGGAGGTATCGAAGTAGTTTTTTAAGGGGATTTCAGCCATGGGGGGTATCTGAAGCCAGCAGGAAGGTATCTAGGTAGTTTTTGAAGAGGATTTCAGCCATGGGGGGTATCTAAAGCCATCAGGGAGGTATCGAAGTAGTTTTTTAAGGGGATTTCAGCCATGGGAGGTATCTGAAGCCATCAGGAAGGTATCGAAGTAGTTTTTTAAGTGGATTGCATGAAGGGTAGCCCGAAGGCCAGATGGTTACAGTCGCGAAGCGACTGGAACCATCTGGTAAGAATATAGGTAAGGTTAATATAATCATAATATAACAGAAAATCAAATAAATAACCATATAAGGAAAGAAACAACGAATAAAATTTCAGATAAAAGTGGTTCTATGAAAAACCCCGAGGTCGATGGTTATTGTGCCACTAATTTGGTTTCCAATTTAAGTGCGATATTTTGTAGAAAATTTTGGTATTATAACTTTATAGAATTAATGAAAATTCGGTATCTACTTACTTTGCATCAAAGTGGTAGCGATCGAGCCGTACGGGGCTGTACGCTTCCTGATAGTCAATCCGGATACGAGTATACGTCGAGTCGCCCACATCAATTGGGACAAGGTAGCTAGAAACTAGGGGGGAAAAGCCGAAATACCGACAGCCATAATCCCGACAACCAAATGCCGACAGCCAAAATACCGATATCAAAAAATAAAAATCCCGACGGACAAGATATCGACAACCAAAAGTCCCGACATATTTTTGAGGCTAATTTGAATACCATGTCCATGTAAATAGCTATTTTGTTTGTCGGCATTTTCTTGTCGGCATTTTTGCTGTCGGGATTATGACTGCTGCGATTATGGCGGCCGAATTTTGATTGTCAGGATTATCGCTGTCGGGATTTTCGCTGCTGTGCTTTTGACCGTCGGTGTTTTGGCTTTCGATATTTTTGCATGTCGAGATTACGATTATCGGGATTTTGGCTATCGGTATTTTGTCCTGCCGGGGTTTCGATCCTTTAAAGCCGAAAAATTTGCATGATACCTCAAGCTCAAATTATTCCTCTTCCTCGACGCTTGGACATCGCGACAAGGGCCAGTTATCGTATCCAAAATATCCTCCAGGGAATGCTGATTAGCCGTCGGTCTGAATTGGCCAAAAATGCAGTTGTAACGGCATGCGTCTTTCCAAATTATTCGGTCTGCTGCTAGCTATGTCCTAACCAAAGGTGAAACTATTTTTCACAAGCCGCAGAAAAATTAGAAAAGTATTGAAAAACAAATATTTATTCTCGTACCTATGGGGAGGCAATTAATATTTTTATGGTGGCTGATTATGCGCAAGGTTGCAGAACTTTTTGCGGAAAATCATTTTTAAGAACTCCATAAAATACGGAGAAGCTAACTCGTGAAGCATTACCATTTGCTACGTCATGTAAACCCTACGACCAGCCGAAACCTAATTTTTTTTAGTTTAGCTAAAATGCAGCAACGTTTTTACAAGTGAGTTTTTTAAAGATTTGATCTGGATAAGATTATTGATTTTTTTAAACACACTTCCAATGATTAAAAAATATAGGTTTGCATCAACGAAATATCTTTATTTCTTTACACCAATGCAAAACAAGTCGGTTTGAGATCTTTGCTGCGTAGTCGTAAAAAATAGATATTTTCGAAGATCTAATTTTCGGAGGGTTTCCTATAAACGTCCGAACTTACGTCCTGCGCGTCAAAATGCCATAAATCCCAAGATCCCAGCTGCCGCAAAATGACTTCGTCTTCGGACCCGTACTAACTAAAAAAGAAAAAACTAGCCACACTTTTAAGGCAATTAAAACGCTTATTTTCAAGGTAAAAACGTTGCATTTCTGCGTTAAGGACGTTGACGACGTTGTCTGGGTCATATTCACGAGCTATTAGGTTCAACAAATCATTGTTTTTTTGAAACACACTTCCAGTCAGTAAAATACAGGTTTTAAGCGAAATATTTTTCTTTTTCTACACTTTTTTTAAACAATGGTTTAATTATTCTAAAATTTTACCAGTCTATTTTGGAAAATCGATTAATGGATTCAAAATTTTGTTTTAGCTTTGCCGTTTAAATTAAAATTTTTAAAAAACTATCAATAATGTTTTATATAAAAACTTCTACGAACAATATAAAAGTTAGGTTAAACAATATTGGATTGTAGTCTTTATCCTACTATATATAAAAAAGTAGTGTCTGTGTGTGTGTGTGTGCCACTTTGCATGCAACTTCCGTCACCATGTCCGGAGGATATCTCAAGAGGGGAGGGGTTTTAAGGGGCGTATGATACGTCATTAGGATCGAAATGGCTCTGGGATGACTGCACGCATGCCAGATTTTGTAAATTATGCTATTTTCGACATTAAATTTAGGTTTTAGTGAAATTTTCGGACACCCTCTTTGTTAGGAAACAATTTGCATACACCGGAAGTGGTGGTGGTCTATATTAAGGGGGAGAGGGAGCGTTTTTCATTATTTTTTCATCGCAGCCCGGGCGAATTATGCAAAGTGAAGAATAGCATGGGCTCAAACGGGGCCAGGGTTGAAAAGTCGCGAAGCGGCTTTTCAACCCTGGTTTGCGTTTAATATGCCCGGTTTTTAAGTCTTTAAATCACAATAATATCCTTACCATCCAAGCAAATATCTTACGGATCGGGATACGCGCTTGTGGTTGTGCTTTCCGGATGTACAGCATAGTAAACACAGTTCCGGCCACCAAAAATCGGAAGAAAAGAAAGTGGAGCGCCATTAGGTGTCTTTCGGCTGGCTCTACCCCTGCCATGCGCCAGCGAAAATGCAGCAAGACGATAAGCCGATTGAAGCTTATCAAAACTAACCGTCGGGCGGAAGAGGACTTGGGTGATGAGTGCTTTTTTTTAGAGGGTAGAGCATCTGCGTGGGCCAGGTGACGTGTGTTTTTTGGCTGAAACATACTTATACTTAAAGGGGTCCGAAAGTCTCCGAAATCCGTGAACGTGACGTGAAAACGCCTGCAATTGAAAATTGTGACATAATTTCTGGAATCCTCACAGAATTTGGATCATTATAAATGTTTTAATTATGCGTTGATTCCTGACAAATAGCCAGATACCTCCGCAACGCGACCGCGCCACGTGACCTTTAGCCCCTACCTGGTCGTGAAAACGCATGAATTAAAAAATTCTGAAGCTAATTCTGTTCTTCTGTAGTCCGCATCGAATTTTGATCATTCGAGACTTGGAATAGAAAGCGGAATTGGGCGCTTTAAAGGGCATCACAGGAAGTAAAACCCGCAGTACATAAACCCGACCCGCAGAACGGAGTTATTTGCAAGAAACTGAAAAAAGACGCACACCAATTCACGGCCGTACCGAATTACGGATGCTCACTTACGGACGCTAGATACGACGGAAGAATTACGGACGCGAAGAGAGCATCAAAATTTTCACCCAGAATCATACACGGGGGACGATACTCGGAGTCTTAGGGATTTTGAAAAATTCCATGAAGTGCCAAATCCCGGCTGCAGAGACGCAAACAACGGATGTTTCAACAAATTTCATGCCAAACCGCGGTTGCTCTTGTCTAATACGGAAATAGTTCGTGCGCGTTTCGACGAGGGGAAGGAGCGCACAGAGGGTAGCCCGAAGTCCAGCCGTTTGCAGAGGCGAGGCCGCTGGAAGCGACTGGTTTTACAGTCTCGATTCCGGAAGGCAAAAATTTAGCCAGAACCCATCAAATTTATTCCGGAAAAATGGGGCAGCACAGGGTACGAGTACACGACACTACACGAGACAATACAATCACAGCACAGGCACAAATACAGGTTAACGGGGAGCAATTTGTTTTTTTGATTCTTCGTTGTTGATTCGTTGTTTTCTTGAGGATGGTAATGGAGTGGAGGGGTGGGGGGCGGGGCTTCACGATCCAGGATGAGAAGGGCGGCGGACACGGCTCGAATGGTTCTGACGATGTCCCGAGGCACCGGGACGGGGACGCGGCCTCGGCTTCATCGACATCGACGTCTCGCCCGGGTCGGTTGGCTGAAAAGGAAATAAAAATGAAATCAGTAAACCAAAGCAAAAAGTAAAAAGTTTGGCACGGCCGGGGTTCGAACCCTCGACCATTGGATTGGTAGTCTGGAGCTCTACCGACTGCGCTACCTGGTCTCTGGTCTCCTAAAGGGTTCAGCTAGCCTGCCTTGCCTCATGAATCCCTGCTAGCATGTGATTCCCCAACGAGCTTTGCTAGCCTGCCCCCTTCCGTACCTTCGTCATCATGGAAGCGCCGACCAGCTTCTTCGACATCAAGAGGGCCTTCTCGATTCGTCTGAAAAATAGGAATCCGGTTTGCAATAAAAGCTAGTTATCCCCTTTTTTATAATCACCAACTTGAAGCTCATGCGATCCTTCGGCTCCTGCAGCCAGCACCGCTGGATGATCTTCGTGATGTGCTTCGGGAACTGAAATGGAGAGTAGATATCGTATCCCGCGTCCTCCTACCGTAGCGGGAATCGGCCACCGCTGGTCCTTTCCTTCCAGCAACATCTTGCGGACGGCCTTGTTGCCCATTCCCGGATAGGGGTCGCCGCCATCTGTGTACACCTCGCACATCATCACACCGAACGCCCACACATCACTCTTCACCGAGAACTTGAAGCTCTTGAGCACCTGTAAAGAGGGGTTTGAAAGAGAGAGAGAGAGAGAGAGAGAGAGAGAGAGAGAGAGAGAGCTAGCGAGAGTGAGTGAGCGAGAGAAAGAGAGCGAGGAAGAGAGCGAGAAAGAGCGAGAGAGAGAGTGATAGAGAGAAAAGGAGAGAGAGAGAAATAGAGAGAGAACGATAGAGATAGAGATACAGAGAGAGAGAGAGAGAGAGAGAGAGAGAGAGAGAGTGAGAGAGAGAGAGAGAAATCGAGAGAGGCGGAGAGCGCGAGATAGAGTGAGGGTGAGATATATCCAGAAAGAGAGTGCGATAGCTAGCTAGAGAGCGAGAGAGAGATAAAAAGAAAGAGCGAGATAGAGAGTGAGAGCGAGACCCACTTCCGGTGCGAGCCACTTGGTCGGCAAGGGCACCGGCTCGAGCTTCTTGCTGTGCTTGAGCGCCTTCTCCTCCATCGACAGTCCAAAGTCGCTGATCTTCACCGTCAGATCGGCGTTCATCAGCAGATTTCGGGCCGCGATGTCGCGGTGCACCTGCAAAAAAAAGAATAGGTTTGCACATTCGATTACGCCACCAAAAATGAAACAAAAATTTAAGGCTAGCCGATTACGACATGAAAATACATCGACATACAATGGCCGCATCCTCCAAGTGGGCCATCCCGGCGGCGGCTCCCTGCATGAAGGCGAGCTTCTGGTCGTCGGTTGTCGCGTTCTTCTTCAGGTACTGAACACAACTCCGTAAAGTAGTCCAAATCGTCCATAGGAGCGTAGTGTAGCGTACTGTCATACCGTACCGATTTGAGCGATCCGTTCGGCATCCACTCGAGCACAATGTACAGCGGGCTGCGCATCGTGCAGATCCCGTGGATTTGCGTCACGTTTTTGTGCTGCCTGAAAAATCGGGGGTGCTTTGGCAGTATCGGAGGGGGGTCGTATTCGCGGTACTGGACTGTTAGCGGGGGGGTTCAAAGGGCTTAAATATTTTTGGAATTCTAGAAAGTTACAAAAATGTATTAAAAATTTGAAAATCTGGATGTTTGACCTCATTTTTAAGCCCCCCGTTAGCAGTCCAGTACCGAGAAAAATAGTCAGCCTCTTGGATGTCCGAATCCCTAAGAATCTCTGCTAGCCTGCTCCTTCAATTCCCCAAGATTCACTGCTAGCCTGCCCTTCAATTCCGCAACGATCTTGGCTAGCTCTCCCTCTAGTTCCTCAACGCCCTCTGCTAGCTAGCCCCCCGTCCTCACGTGATCTTCATCATGATGTAGGCTTCCTGGAGGAACTTCTGTTTCTTCGTCGGATCCTTGGCCAGCAAGTCCTTCAGCACCTTCACCGCCACCGCCACCGACTCGCCTTGTGTCTGGAAAAGTAGGGACTCGGACAGCTTAACGCTAAGGCTAAGCCTCAGCCTAAGCCTAAAAACGATACCATAAAGGCAGCGGCATGGACAGCTCCAAATTCGCCCGATCCGACCTGCTCGCGCATCTCGATGCTCTCGTGGGGGATGATTTGGACCTGAAGACAAAATATGGGAGAGAGAGAGAGAGAGAGCGAGAAAGAGAAAGAGAGAGAGAGAGAGAGAGAGGGAGAGAGGGAGAGAGAGAGAGCGAGAACAAAGCATACCGGTCGGGGAATCGATCGCAGGAGCCTGAACACCTCGGAGGTGTCCTGGGCCGGCAGCTGCTCGCCCGAGTTGTGGAACTGGCTGACGATGTCGGCTGAAAACGGGGCAGGCTAGCAGAGACCAATTGAGGGGACCCACTGATGCTGTCGAAGCCTCGGTTGCCAAGGTAGAACTGCTTGTTGCGGTGGATGACGATGGTGAAGTAGACGATGTCGGTCGGGCCGCGGAGAGCGATGCAGAGCAACTGAAAAAAGGATTACGATCTTACAAGAAAAATTCGACCCCCCCGCTAATGGAAAAGCACCTGTTTTAACAAATTTTTTTAAATAGATTTTACTTCATAACTCGGTAATGTACCGCTGCCCATACCTCGACCATCTTGTCCTTCGCGAGCGTGCGGTAGACCTTGCAGACGAGGAACTCGCCGACCTGCTTCAGCTGCTCCTCGATGTACTGCGGCTCGGCGTAGCCGTGGTAGTACAGCGAGTTGTAGATGCCACGGTCCGGCTCTTGCACCCTGCAATTGAGCGCATTTTCGAATTTTCAAAATTTTGAAAAATATGTTTTAAAAATTTTAATGTTACTTGAAATAATAACACAAATAAATCATTCAAAAAATAATTGAAAAATAATTAAATAATTTAAATAAAGTTCAATTTTTTAAATCTAAAAATAAAAATTTTAAAAATTTTAAAAACTTTCTGGCAATCAAAAACTACTAAAACACACTAAAACACCAAACCGCAACTTCCACCCACAAGTGATTGTAGCTGGCCTGTAGACGATCACGGAAGGCGGCCATCCTCTCCAGATCGTTCTGCGGCGGCGGCTTGACCTCGTCCCGCTCCTTCAGCTTGTGCGCCACGCGGTCCACCGATTTCTAAAAGGCGCAAACTAGCAGTGACCATTTGCGCACAGCGATACCGTGCTCTTCTTGTTCTTCTTGTCGGGCGACTCGGCCACCATGTCGATGCCCCTTCCGGATGTCGAGACGGCCGCCTCGTCGTCGTCGCGCCGCTTGCTCTTCTTCTTCTTTTTCTTCTTCTTCTTCTCTTTCTTGTCGTCGCCCTGAAAAAACGAGAGTTAAGTGGGTTCAAGGTGCCGTCAAGTTCAAGCGGTTCAACCGGGATGGGAAGGTTAGCAGAGAACAAAAAAGGGCAAGGTACCTTGACGCGATCCTCCTCCTTCCCGCTGATGCGATCCCTGCTGATCCTCCTGGTCTTCTTCTTCTTCCCCGACTGATCGGGCCCGCCTTGTTTCTCCTCGTCGTTCTCCTTCTCCTTCTTCCGCTTCTGCCGCTCACTCCCAGATCCATCGCTTTTCGGCTGCTACAAAGACCGAAACATTTTTCCAGTTCGTAAATCGATACCTTGTCCATCTTCTCGGGCTCCTTGTCCTTGCCCTCCTCGCCCTCCTTGACGACGGCGACCGGGGGCGGCACGTCGACACCTTCGGGCAGGGCAACTTCCTGAAATTCGGAGATTATGGAAGCTAGCAGAGTTTTTTGAGGAAAGGGAGGCTAGCAGAGATTTTTTGCGGAATTCGAACTCAGAGGCAGGCTAGCAGCGATTCTTTGAAAATCAAAAAACTGCGCCGAGGCCTAATTTCAATGCAAAAACCTCTCAAAACCGACCATCACTCCGCCGGGCTTCTTGGACTTGCGCGCCTTCGGGAGCTTGAGGTCGGCCTCGGTCGGCTCTTCAGCCGATTCCTCCGACGAGTCCGAGCAGGTCTTCTCGTGCGTCTCCGTCGCCGATGGGCCACCGTCCTCCTTCTCGGCCATGTTGTTGCGAGTGTAAATAGGTTTTGTTCCCTCCCTCTCTTTTTATACCCGGAAAATTGTATGCTAATTTGAAAGTTCCGGATCGTAATTCAAAATGCCGGATGTTTATGGTAATTTAATGTTATAAACGGTTCACAAGTTTTAACGACAAGGTTTAGAGAGAAGAATTTAGCGAGAATTTGTTTGTATAAGTCTATAAACGCCTAGTAACGTAATAGGAAGCATTTTAATAGTGTTTTTAGTAAACTAAAACTACATTGCAGCAAAAAAAAACTACCTACAAGCTTTTCAAAAGATTAAACTTTGGTTAAAATGGCAATTTTTCGTCGAAAATCCAAATTTTGATAGAATTTTGTGAAAAAAAATAATAAAAATATATATCCTATTTTTTAATGAACAGTATAATACAATACAAACACTACAAAACACAATTCCTTCGATTCTCGCGCTCCAAAGCCCCCATTAAAACCTATTATTAGTACCAACATCTTGTTGGTGACAACTGACCAGGAGTACCATCCATTTTCGGGGTATTCAAAGCTCGTCCGTGTGACCAATTTGTTTATACGGCATTACCCTTTTCAAAGACCGACCCGAGGCCCCAGATCAAAAAGATGCTACCCTCTAAAATGTGGCCCACCCCTCGCCACATCTGGACCATGACCGGTTTGGTACTTTTGCGGTCCGGTCAGCGCTCGGTAAAAATAAACAACTGCCCGACTATGCAGATTTTCGAATTAGATATTTTCTCTTTTTCCAGGATATCATTTTTGAAATATAAATAGTGGCAGTGTTTATAAATGGTCTTTTTCTAGTCCTAAACGTCAAGCTTACAATTTTTTATGAAGAGCAGAAAACATATCGATTTTTCGCCTAAAATGGCCGTTTTACCAACAGTCCGACTTTTTGAAAGTTTTAGGTAACTTTTCTAGAAAAATATGGGTTTATTTTACTAAAGACACTACTAATTCGTTCAATTCGGATTACAAGACCCATATCGGTAAGCCTAAAAAGCGCCCCCTCGCCTGCCGGGTTTAGCCCGCGATCGAGCAGCCAATGGGCCTTTGTTTACCCGTCCCCCCGATCATCCACCCCTCAAAGAAAGGCATGTTTCGATGCGTCTTCCTTTTCCGGGCCCTCGAGCAAAAAAAAACTATTTGTTTTCACGTTTTTCCTAGGCTTCCTGCAAAATCCCTGCAAAATCGATTCTAACAAAGTCAATAGCAACACAAATAAGTGCCAATTATCTGAACTATTAAAATTGCGCTTAAAATTATTTAGATTTGCAGAAAATAACCTTTGTTTAGAAAAAAAACTATTTGAAAAACGCTCCGGCAGCGCTAAAACGCTTCTGAATTCTATTTTGTGGTTCCGCATAAGGCTACCGTAAACGGGTTCCGCGACTTTCCACCGTACGCCGCTTGTAAGGTAGTGGGAACGTACTAAGATTTCTCGAACTTTCCGAATCGATATTTTCAACAAAATGGTTTTTTTTTACAAAATTGATTTTATCGGGGGTTCAATTCGCGTTACTCCTTCCGTTTTATCCATCCTTATTTTTCGACCATTTCTTTTCACAAAATTATTTTCTTTACGATCAATTCTTGTTTTCCATACTTTTTTCTTTCATTAGCCATTCACCCTCATTTTTCTTGTATCGGGGCGGGGTCATTCGATGGGTCGTCGGCGACTGTCTATGGCCAGCCGCAACCAAAACATTCGCGCTATCCAAACCCTGGCCCCCAGCCTCCTCCTCCGGGATATCTTCCTTCAGATCTTATTCAAAATGCTTACCCGATTGCCTGACGGCGACGCGAACGCTGATGTCTCTTGGCTCTTTAGCTTTTTCCTTTTGTTTGATACAACCAAAATTCGCGAGGCCTTTTTGCGGTCCTTCTTGTGCCGAGATCGCGTCAATTCTGTGTGCTAATTCTTTTCCTAGTCTTCCAGTAGGTTCGGGACGCGGCTTTCGTCAGAGCTTTTGTATCTAAAATCGTGCTTTATTTACTATTTGCTCTGAAATTGAGTAACAATTCCAAGCTTTTAAGCGGAAACTATGGTACTTTCGTGGGTCTATCTGGCTTGTTTTTTCTTTGCTTCTTTCAATCTGATAAGGCCTCGGCGAAATCGCAGAACCTATTGTAATTGTTACGAAACCCGGATACGAAAGGCTGTTCCCCGTTCCGACACGTCTGCCAAGGGTCATTTGCGATACTTTTCTCAATCTGTTAGTGCTTTTGCGTTTTACAACCCACATCTGTTTAATTTCCGGGCTTTGATCACCGTGACTTTTTATATTGATTGACTTTCATAGGCAAATGTCGAATTCTGTTTCATCTCGCCACTCACCTTCCTACTTTCTTCCGCTCCCGATTCTTTCAATTTTCAAATTCATTCCATTTCAGCCAGGCCCATCCACAAATCAGTGAACCTGGTCGAAGCCCCATTTGCCATTCTCGAACCCGCGAGCCACAATGGGTCGAAGGGCGGAGATAAAGCGCGCCAATGCCAAGGTATCGTTTCTAGGCTTTTCACTGGTTTTGCTTTTTAGGAAAAGGATCGGGATCACCATCCAAACAACCACCACATCAACCATCACCATCATTCGCGACACGGCGAGCCCGAACCGCACACCGGTTGCCCGATACCCGATCCCGTGGTTTGCAAGGGTGCGTTTGATACTTCTGGGGTATCTTTATGTTTATTCACAAGCCTTAACAACTTTTAAATACTACTGGCTTGAGGCTGTGGGTGCCTAACGTTTGCCCATCGCCCCGTATTGCCTCAACAATCAAAATACCCACCATTTAGCTAGCTTTTGACTCCGTTACAAGTCTCGCAAGGTCAAAATATTTCTAGAAAAGTTTGTCAAAAATATTTGTTGAATTTTCTACCAAAGACGTACTTACCATAGGACGTACGTCTTTGGCACGCAATGTACTATAAGACGCTACGCCAGAACGAACCTATTGACACGAGGGACCCTCAAAACTTATTTTT